GCTAGGGAGACCAAGATTGAGCATAGGAAGTGTAAAGCTAGACTAGCGTTAGCAGCCCTTTCGGCTCGGCCGCCGGGCGTAAATAAATTGTGTGTACAGTCATTAACGACTGTGGCTTCAGCTTCACGCGTAGCTGCGCAATGATTTTAGGCAGTCCCATATTTCGTACATGGTGTAGCGCAGGATGTGTACTGTAAAACAATTCGATTCAATGATGATTGCACTTCTGGAATGCTGCCTGCAGGGTGAAGCAGCCATCGCTAGCAATTGTAGGGATAGCGATGCTAACCCAATGTAGGTATTGCGACAGCCCATGTTCGCAAATAGTCGAACACAGATAAGCTCGCAGCCTCGTAGATAAGGCTTAGCGTCAGCGCTGATCCGTCAGCGTAAGCGCACGCTAGGAGGATAATGCACTCGCATAAGCCATCTTCGAGAGCGGCTGTAACTTTCTTCTTATATGCTCGCCTGCTATAGAAACGGCCGGTGGTATGAATGCAATGGCCGATAGCAGCGATTGCTGTGCAGAAGTGGCCGAACCCGGGTCGTATGACTGTTGCGGCCGCCCTGCGCTACAAGCGAGGCTAATCGCGATAGGACTCGATCCTGACCGTAAGCATTCTGAAGGATCTGTCGGCTCAGCGCACAATATGAACTGTGCCGCAGTGGCACGACTGCTTGCCAGTAAGCAACTTATGCTCTCCAACCGACGGATCATAAGCGAACTTCCCAATACACCATAGTGCAAACAAGGGTAGGCCAGTTTACTGCAGGCAGCTGCGCCGCACATCCTATGGGAAACAATACGGCATGATAAAGTGGTCCTTACCGATATGTGGTACAGCTAGTTACAAGTTTCTCACAGACTCAACAAAATCTATGCTCAGCTCATATACCAGGGGTCTAGTAAAGGCTTGAGTATTAAGGGAGGTCTCTAGTTAAACATCACGTGCACACATCTTATCAACGAACAATTTCTGTGCACAGAGATTCATCACGCATGGACTAAAAAAACAGTTCTAGGCACTTCTTGCACTTACTACTGATCATAGAAGAAGTCAACCCGCTGTAACTCGGCGGCTGGATGGACTTTGCGCGAGAGTAGCGCCTTTTCTTTTTTCCCAGAACTATTAGATGACCCTATAGGCACGCATAGTCTCTAACTGACCATCTTTCACGGCTAGCAGTACGCTTTTTTATTACAAGTCGAGAGCTGCTCAGAGAATACAGTATCGGACCCTTTATGGCAGAACAGCAGCTAAGGGCGAGTTGCACTACAACCAACTCAAGTTTCGATATTTCTATAGAATTAGGGCTCCAAGCTTAGATCTATTGGCACTATCGTGAGAAGGGCTTTCAATATAATAGGACGTCCAAAAGTTTAGCAGAGTTACGAGCGCATTTATTTGCCCTAGACACCGGGCTTTCAAGAACAAGCATCCACTAAGCAATTTATCAGTAAGTACACCCCGCGACTGATCCTCGCTCGGTAGTATTCTATATCAATTCAATTCAGTGTTACAAGTAACAAGAAGGATTCTCTCCTTGACGAGGGACGACGAGGTTGAAGGCCAACCACGTCCACGTCAGAAGGTAATGATCATCGCGG